CACCAACTTAATGTGCTACCATTTTGCATTCTTCTTCTTCTTCTTCTTCTACATATGTTCAAACATGCTATTGGTTGTTGCATCAATAGATTCCCTATCCCATGATATGTTAACCGGAATGCTGAGGAGTGTTTTCGATTCCAAATAATTATTTAAGTAGAACTGTAATACTGATTATTGTTAAAATTAATCTTAAGATATTTCAGTCACAGCAAGATACCGGCTTTAGGAAGAGCTTCTTTTTGACCGCCTGCAAAATGCATACTCTTTACAAAGTGGCTACAGAAGTAGTGGGCATTCGTGCCACTTATTTTCAATACCTTCATCAATTCACAGATATTTTATATAAGGCAGGTACCAAAATAACCGTTCTTTTAAATATTTAGTAGGAAATTAGGTCTTCTTACAAGTGTATACTTGAAGTAAGAGCATCTTCGGGGTTAAAAACTGTCTAACTTGCAGAATAAATTTGAACCCCATCAACGTTTAAGCTTGCACTCGAGGTGTCCAAAATAAATTCCATATACACTCACCTTCAGGGACAGCAGCAGAAGGGGGCAATCCATACACAGGAAGGTGTGGTATTTATAGAATACACTCACTATGCTACTGCATACCTATGACAATTAACTGTTCCCCCTATCGAGGATAGCTGCACGCTTGTGTGCTAATTGCTTGATGGTTGGCGTGTGGGTCGTGGCATGCTGAACGTTCATCACACGTGCTGGACTTATACGTGATGCTCGCTCGACCATCTGGCTCCCTGACCCTGGCGTTAGATGACGCGTTCGCCCGTGAACTCCCGAGTGTGTTATGCTTTTGCCAAACTGAGCCTTAGCACAGAAGATTGATTGAACAGGTCATTGCACTTGTTTATAGCTTAAGAGTCCGTAAACCATGGCTCAAGCAACTCGCGTCTCAAACGAATACCATTTCTAGCGAGAATTTCCGCATCATCAATTTTGAATGTGTGCCCATGCTCGTCAAATGAACCGCGATGTGAAAATTGGCGTCATTTCGTCGGGCTGCTGCTGCGTGTTCGGTTAACCGCTCCCAACAATGTCTTCCAGTATTTCCGACGTAGTTGCTTTGTCCACAAATGCACCAGATCAGATAGAAGCTTTCCGATGTTTCTTGCCGCGGCAATGACATTTTTTTGGTTTCACTATCTAAAGCAGAATGGTTGCCTTCGACTTGTATGCGACTGCAGCTCCAAGTTGTGCGATAAAGCGACCAACTACCACCGAGACGTGTTAGACGTACGGAATCGCTCGCCAAAATTTGCGCATGCAAAGTTTGACGAAGTTTCGCTTGTAGCCCTTTCTCATAACATTCGACGAAAATATTACAGTTGGACAATTTTGTTTACCAGTTTACTGTAGTGCGTCTCAACAAGCTAAAAAGTGTGCTTACGCAACAACGTTTGTGGCTGATTGGGTGGTTTCTGCTGAAGTTCACTACGTGCAGCATAGTTATGGCTTTCGTTAAAGTTTTGTTCTTCAGGTCCCCACAATCTTTGCGGAAGACGAAGATATCAAGGAACGCCAGCTGGTGGCTTTCATCCTCGTAAATCTTATGTTCGAAAAGGCGTGGTTGAACGTTCTCTGAACGTAAGCATCCGATACCGTTCGATGACGATGAAGGTATCATCCACGTATCGTGCTCAGAATGTCGGTCTGTGGCGTCAGAAGACCAGTGACATTAATCGTTCTAGGATCAATTCGGTTAAAACTCCTGAAATAGGCATACCCATATGTATTCCCTTAACCTGCTCGGAGACTGCTCCGTTAAAATACCTAAGCAGGCTTCTTCTACACAGAAGGTAATCAGCCCTTAGAGGAGACTACACTCCACCCTGGAGTCCAACATATTAGGTAAACTAGTAGTCCTCCACAACAGCTGTGGCTGTGAACGTACAGATTTATCGATGCAGCATACTAAATCAAATTATTCAACAAACATCGAATAAAGCAACATTAATGTTTAGCATCGGCATTGTGTAAAAAGAGCATAAATGCACATTAGACTCGACCTAACACAGAGACGGACACGTTACACGCGGAATACCACTAGAACAAAACTTAGGTACCTTCTTTGTCTGTTCACAGAACAGAAAGCATAACAGGGCTGACATAAAAAACGCATTAAAAAGGTTCGGAAAGATCAGGCTGCATCCTAGCTAATGCACGTTTGTATTGGCTAACAGTACATAACAAAGATCCGTCCTAACTGATAAGAGAGAGAGAGAGAGAAATGTCCCCGTCGCAGTGCCACCGAAGCAGAACTGAGGCAGCGTGGCAAGTTAAACAGTTATCTGTCTATACAAGCGAAAATGCGAGTCCTAGCGATCGAGTCTTCTTCTTCTTCTTTTTCTTCTCAGTTATCTGTCTGTTCAGAGACAAGCTGAGGGCTAAGATGAGAGTACTTACTTGACATATGACGCAGTACACAGAAGCCGCTTTCTTCTTCTTCAACGCTCTAAACCGTGCTTCAACCGAAGCAGGTCCCAGGACGGCAAGCGTGCGAAGGTTGTTTGAGTCGCGGCAGAGGTCAACAGTTTCCGCTTCGACGGTTCTCGCCTGGAAGGCAGAAAAATAATAAGAGGGGCAAAAGGTTCATTCAAGGAGTGCCTGCAAACAATAGGACGCTAAACGCAGACCCAGCATCATTTATAAGTCCAACACTGGGGTATGCGATTCTCTGAAAGGAGACCTGCCCTCAAGTCCTGCTGAAGGACCTGAACTAAGATTTTTCGGTTGACACGACCTTAAAAAGTTGACTTACCAATAACGAACAGGAATAGATCTAGGGAGATCGAGCCAACCCTTCCGTTGGCATCCGTCCAATGCATGACCATAACCACATCCTGATAGAGACAAGTGGGCCAAAGTTTTGTATAATGTAAAATGCGCTGAGGTGGTATGGGAGTGTAGGTCCCAGCTCACATGTACAGTATATTGCGTAATTCATGAAATGTGAAGATTGAAATTCGAGGGGATAGTTTAACACACATATATGAAGTTGGTAATTTAGTTCATTGAATTGGTCTGAGGCGCGAAATACGGTTTACGAGAAAAAGATTTCAGTTCACATCAGGGTATTAGAGACAAAAGTGAGTCATCTTGGATCAGATGCAACGTTTCTTGTTAGCCAAGGAACTGGCTATGCTAGTGAACGCTACTTTTCGTTATCCGTGTTGTACTGTAAACTAACATAAATAGCGGACGGCCAAGTTTTACTCATACCTCCTCAGAGAATTAAACATTTTGTTTTGCGTTCATTAGAAGCAGACAAATGCACTAAAACGCTGAAAAGCGTAATATTTTCACCATTATTTCAAGAACGATCTAAACCTCGTCGTAATCGAACACCAGAACTAATTTTTTAAAAAAATTGCGGAAGGAAATTTCTCTTAATGTACACACAATTATTTCTTTATGATTGCAACTAACAAGTCCATTTAAGGTTATTAGTCACCGACATGCATGTCCACATCGAAGCTCAGGAAGTATCTTACTTCTGTGACGTCCCAATCGGCGCAATTAAACGAAAATCTGGTTGCCTTAGTCCAGCGTATGTCAAACAAGGTACAAACGGAAGAACTAAATAGCAATTCTCGTGAAGCCAAGCTGGAATGCATACCCGAACTTCGGACTGTTTGGTAACACCCGTACCTCACACTGCGTGCAATATGGAGGCAAATATATCCAAAACTTTCACAAAATGAGTACTTTCAAACGTAATTCTACTTGGGGTGCTTTATCCGGTCAGTTTTTTTCCAGGAATAGGCTTTTCTGCACTAAAAACTTAAGTTTACTTAGCAACTCCGACAGTTCAAACGTCAATTCTGAGGAGATCTATCGTGTGCTTCTCAGTATGGAGGTGCAGGGACGGTGAATTACGAGTGGATTAGTTTTAAGTGATAAAAGACTTGCGTTGCATCTACCACACTCTCTCTCTCTCGACTTTCACTCATTAGAGCCCGATCTCAAGGCAGAGTCAAAAAGGCCAGAGACAGGGTCGGACGCAAAAGGCCGGAGCCTCCATGCTTAAATCGAATCCAACGGAGCGAGAGTGCCATAAAGGCTGCGGACGACTGGTGCCTAAGTCTGCATATACGCGTACCACCAACTTCCAATAGAAGCAGTGGCACTAATCCCAGCTCATACAGCCTGGGCCTCCATTCCACGTTCTAGTCAGGGTCCTGAACACGATGAAATAAATAACGGCTTACAGCCGTATTTAAAAGGATAACAAGAGGACGAGGAAAGGACTCACGGGTTTAATGTCCGGTGTGTCGTTATTTTTCTCGTCATGCAAGAGGAATTCAAGTTTTAGATTTTTGTTGATTAGCTTCCGCTGCATGCTGGCAAGCTTTGCCCTTAAATTGGAGTCACGCTCTTCTTTCAATCGAACCTCTTCTTCTGCCTCCGAAGCCTGCGCAAAAGCGGAAAATGGGAAGAGATGAGAATGGGAGAGAGAGGGGATAGCAACTTTTTAAGAGACAGCAAAAGCCAACTAGTGCAATAAATCTCTCCTGCTTCATTCGTTTATGCTCACGACTGACTAATTATACGCAAAGAAACTTTTTGGACCACAATGGTTGGCTGAAGCATTCCGGGTTCTTATATTGTATAAAAATCTGGCAAACCCGAACAAAAAGACCTGGGAATCAC